AGGACAAGCAGGTGTGGAAAATCCATGTACGGTAAACAGAGTGTGGTTTGTCAGTATGCCTCTCGCAGTGCAGCGGCTCGGAAAGATGATTCCGAGCCCGGTGACATCAGCAGGATTGGGTTACGTTGGCCTGCGCTTTGACCTTTGACCCCCCCCCCCCCAGCTCCGTTTCCCAGGGTGAAGGGGAGTGGGAGTGTGGGAGGGGAATAGGCACGTGCTGTGAGAATGCATTAGGCCGGCCGTTTAAGTCTACAGCAGGCCAAATCACAAATTAATTGATTTTGAGGCAACACCATGAGGTAGTACAGGCTCATTACATCAGCCTGATGGATTTATTTTACTGTGTTTTTCTACATTAGCTGCTTGAAGTGGCTGGAGGCTGTAATGAATGTGCAGTATATAGATGTATTTGTGACCTTCGCTTAGAGTGGCAGCAGCCTGTACCACAGGGCTCTTCCTGGATTTTTTTTACTCTTTCCTTTATATTACAGGAACGTCTTGTTGTTTTCATGGTGATTTGAAGAGCCTCTCGAAGTAACCTGAGCAACATTGCAGGTGGTTTTCCAAAGGTCTTTGGAGACATCTAAAGGGTGAAATTTTGGAAATCACTTTTTTTTTTCCGGTGGGGCCTGGATACTGAGTCAGGCTCACACAACATTCAAAACTGAGGAGACTGGCAGATTTCTAATGAGAAAACGAAATTGATCTTTTTGTTTTGGTTTGTTTTTTTTGTTTTTTCTTTCCATCCTCCTGTGCCTCTGGGACAAAACTTACTTTCGCTTGGCCAGTCTGGCATCCAGCAGATAAACAAAGCTGGGTGGGTGGGGGGGGGGGGGCAGCCTCATGGTGGTAGATACAGGGGGTGGTCGGCGAGACCTTGCGGAGCAGGCCCACCCAGAAATGCCTCCCTATCTTGGGGTATTGCTATACCCACTGTCCGCTCGAACTTTTGACCCCAGACTGGCTTTCTGTTAAATATCACATGCCTTTATGTGCATGTTTGTGTATGCCTGTACATTGTGGTTACCAAGCTCCATGCTGTATAGATACTGGGGCCTGTGCTGTGTGGTTACCGGGCCCCGTGCTCTATAGGTATTGGGCCCCGTGCTGTGTGGTTACCGGGCCCCGTGCTCTATAGGTATTGGGCCCCGTGCTGTGTGGTTACCGGGCCCCGTGCTCTATAGGTATTGGGCCCCGTGCTGTGTGGTTACCGGGCCCTGTGCTGTGTGGGTATTGGGCCCCGTGCT